GGGGAGCGTTCCACCCAAATATTCAAGGTGAAAAATCCACAACAGACGTCAAGGAATATATCGAGAAGGAAGGTGATGTCTGCGAATGGGGTCAGTTCCAGATAGACGGGCGTTCCGGACAAGTCTACGCTGAAGCATTAAATAATGGTTCTAGAGATGCAGCCCTTCAGGTAATTAAAGAAAAGGACCCCAAATCGTTTACGTTGCAATACCACAATTTAATGAGCAACTACGAATGCATTTTTCAACCTCCGATTATTCTGCTTGTGTCACAGTGTTCACCGGGTTCATTCGTCATATCGGAGGGTCTTGAAATTTGGTCCTAGGAAAATATCTTTCTACCAGACAGGGCCGTTGTGAGGCCGGACAAGCCAAAAAGCATAATCATCAAATGGCCCAGTATGATAGGAAAAACGGTTTGAGTCAGATCACTCAGTCCACATAATTATTTAAGTGGGCATTTGGACTTCAACAAATATGTGTACTCCATTGAGGCATGTTACAATATCCATTGGAGTATACATATTTGTTGAAGTCCAAATGCCCACATAAATAATTATGTGCGTCGAGTGATCTGGACCAAGCCATTTTTCCTATCCTATTTGGTCCTTTGATGATTATGCTTTTAGGCATGTCCGGCCGCGCAGCGGCACAGTCCGATAGAAAAATATTTTCTCTGGCCCAAATTTGAAGACCCTCAGGTATGACGAATGAATCTGGTGACCACCGTGACACGAACGGAACAATCAGAGGCTGAAAAACGGGTTCGTAGTTGCTGATTAAATTGTAGTATTGCAACATAAACGATTTGGGGTACTTTTCTTTAATTGCCTGAAGAGCTCCATCTCTAGAACCAGTATTTAATGCTTCAGTGTAGACTTGTGCGGCGGAATGTTTACAGCCTCTGGCGGCACGTCCGTCTATCTGCAACTGACCGCATTCGCAGACATCACCTTCATTCTTGATATATTCCTTGACGTTTGTTGCAGATTTTGCACCTTAAAAACTTGGGTGGAGTGCTCCCCTCCGACTCAGAACTGTTATGTCGAAGAATCTGTTATTTGTGCAGCAGAACCGTCCCTCGAACTCTAACAGGGCGTGCAAATGGGGTTCTCCTTTGGCATGGAGTTCCCTAGAAATTTTAATGAATTTAAGGGTTGTGGGGTAGTGAAGATTTTTTAGGTAATCGAGGGCTTCATTTTTTGGGAACCGAACACCTCGGATATGTGAGAAAACAATTTTTGGAATTGAGTTTAAATTGGTTTGGGGCCATTTGCGAATTGTCACTCTTTGGTGTCACTCTTTCGCCCCGGAGGAAAACTCTGAAATGAATGGGTGATAGGGGGACAATATATAGGGGGGGAGGACATCCTGTTAATATTACAAGGATGCGCTCCCCTGACTTTATATGTTGGGCCCCGCTCGGAGTAATTTGGGAATTTTGTACCACGGGGGAATAAAACAGGCCCACATGTCTCAAATTAAGCGGCATATGAATTTAATGCTTGAAATTTGAATTGAAATGTGTACAAAACGAGTTTATGTGGTGGGGGACATTGTGACTGACATAAAGGTGATATGATGTCACTTTTTAAAAGTAAAAGCCTCACCCAATCCCAACTACTCAAATATCCCTAACATTTTGGCTTCCCACGGACTCTAATTAAGTTTGTAGAAGATATTTGAGACACTGAATATTTAATCTTAAAAATTGGAATCCTAATGGATTTAACTCTGGAAATTACAAGTTTTACCGGAAAAGCATGTATTTTACTCCAGGACATATCAACTCCGTGTTGTGATAACAGTGTCGCATTTATAGCATGTTACAACGCCCTACAGTTTGAGCTTCATTGTCTGTCGGATGCATTATTGCATGTCTTTGCTGAGAGTGCTAAGCTAGAGGAGAATTCAACATTTACCTATGGTGCCGGACAGACGTAATTTGTAATAAATATATTAAACTGAGTGTGGTGAGTTGATTGTATATTATAATAATGTATGTGCACAACAATGAATAATCTATATGTATTCAATAAATTCAAAACTGAATATTTTTTGTTTGTTCTATATCAATGATGTAGCGCTGAAACATGTCTACAAAATACTGAATACCCTTATAATTACATTATTAATACTCAAAACTCCTAGATTGTCTAAATATTGCATTATATGGAACCTAAATCTATTCTCAAATGGTGAAGTCGGCGGCTTCAATGTCGTCCAGATCGTCAAATGTATCCATGCTTTCTGTAATCCTAGAACTCGCCTGGCGTTGTGATTGAATCAGATCTGTATATTCACAAAGTTCAGCTCTGTGACAGACGTTGGTGTTTGATGCCTGTGATCTTGAAATACAGAGGATTGTGTACCTCCCATATGTAGACACCTCTGCTGCATTGTCCCATATTTATTTTTCTGTTCTCTATTGTATTCATTTTTTGGTTCAATAATGCTAATATTGTTTCTGACTTTTTCCTTTATTTTAATGTATTAGGATTTGTTCCTCTCTTTTTTATCGTACTCAAAATTATGTGTGTTTCTAGTAATTGATTGTTGGTATTTCAACTTGACAGCATGTGTTTCGAATGATTCATCTTAATATTCAATAAGTACATAGTATTATAAGTTTACAACAACAACATTCAAGCCTTAGTCCCAAAAGATATTGAGGTTTGTTAAACGTGAATCGATACATAATATCACCACCAAAAGGAAAAGAAAGAAAACAAAGATAAAAAGATAAGCTACGATAAAAAAAGATAATATAAAAAGCGATGGATATATATAAAAATGATAGAATAAAAGAACACAAACACACACATATACAAAGATAAAAGGATAAAAGAACAAGAAAAAGAAGTTGAAGGGAAAAAGATGCTAAGAAATCACTCCTCCACTTTGCTCTCTCCAAAACCAAACCCTCATTTGGCCCAAGAAGAAACATATCACTTCTCACTCCTCTAATCCATGTTTGTTTGGGTCTTTCACTCCCACTGTTCCCTGCCTCTTCTCCACACATCTCAACTCGTTTGACAAGTGCATCACTCGGTCTTCTACCCACATGACCAAACCACCGCAGACAACACTCCCACATCTTATCTTCAATAGGTGCTACTCCTACCCTTTGTCTGTTCGTCTCATTTCCCACGCGGTCCTTTCTAGTATGCCCACACGTCCAATGTAGCATGCACATCTTTGAATGTGACATTGTTTCGCCGTCTGACACTCTACGCCATACAGTAATGCGGACCTAGTTGTCTTCCTATAAAATTTACCCTTCGGTCTAGTTAGCACACCTTGATTGCATAAAAATCCTGATGCACTCTTCCGTTTTATCCACCTTGTTCATATTCTATGGGATACATCTCCATCTAATTCACCGTCATTTTGAATTTTGGAGCCCAAGTAACAGAACATATCGCTGACCGGTATCTCTGTACCATCTAGAGTAATTCCGATATTACCATTGTTTCTACCTCCACCAAACTTGCACTCTATATACTTTGTCTTGCTTCAACTTAGTCTGAAACCCTTGTTCTCCAATGTTTGTTGTCATACTTAGAACTTTGCTTTAACATCTGATTGCGTCTCATCGACCAATATAATATTGTTGGCAAACATCATGCACCACAGTATATCATCTTGAATTGACTTTGTAAGTTCATCCATGATTATGACAAATAATCAATAACAGGATGCGCGTAATACTCGAGCGATGAAAGAACCACTGAAGAGGAGAAGAATGATGAAAGTATCGTTGTGGTTATGCACCTCGAAGCTCGTCGTTGAGGGCTTGGAGCAGGAGACAATGACTGAATGTATCGTCGTTGTTAACTGCTCAGCTTTTGCCGCTGATCGTTCGCCGCTCACTGTTTACTGCTCACAACACTTCGAAGCTCACCGTAGGGAGAGATGATGAGCAGATCGGAGGAAATGATAACGGATCAGAGAAGATGGTGAACAGATGAGAGAAGAGTGATGGAAGAAGATCGAATGTGCCATGAGCTGCTGTGAGCGAAGAAGAATGATGATGTGCAATGTGCGATAGTTGGGGGATGCACGATTGAGAAATTAGAAGAGGGGTATTTTTGGAACAAAAGTCCTATTTAGGGAATAAAAATACTCCTACTCCTAATTAGGAATTTCAGCAACAATTTAGTCCTATTCAAGGCAATGACTCGTATATTTTTATGTGTTAGCGATTTAACGATGAAAGAAAGTAATAGTTAAAATATTTATTTTCTTAATGGGTAACTGACGAGTACCAGAATCGATATGGGATTAATGAATCGAGGGGGGGTCGAGGGGGTGGGGTGGGGCAAGCTGAAGAAGAAGAACGGAAGGGGAGGGGTCGGGCGAGCTAGGCTGAAGAAGAAGAAGAAGAAGAAGAAAGATCAGTGGAAGGAGTGACTTGGCTAAAGAAGAGGAGAGTTGGGGGGAAGGGAGGGATGGAGTGGGACGGGATGAATAACCAATATAAGAAAAGTCCACATAAATCTTTAGTGAAGAGAATAGACAATTGCAGAGAATAATGTACTAAAAATGAGTTAAAGGTTTACGAGAATCCATGATTTTGGAAGTCAATAAGAATGAATGAAACTTTGAATACGCCTAGACTTTATAAACTTTTAAAAGTCTACATTGAATACACTTACACTTTTTGTAGACTTTTAAAACTCCACAATAAATACACTTAAACTTCTAAAATACATATACTTTTAATATTTAAAAATTGTCACTAATTCCCCTTAGTTTAGTTTAAACTTTAGGGGTGTTTGGAACTGATTCTGCTTCTGCTTCTTTTTTAAAGTAGAAGCAGAATCAGAATCAGTTTTCAGAAGCTGGTATCCTCCAGCTTCTAAAAAACCTGATTCTGCGAGTAAATTAGAGTAACAGAAGTGCTTCTGGAATTTCACCCAAACACTCCATTCTGATTGTGATCTAAAAAGCAGAATCAGTTTTAATCATGTCCTTGGCGGCTAACCCGAGCTTCCTCCGTAGCCAGTAAATTATCCTTGTGGGATTACTTGATCATTCATGCCTGAATTGTTCCGGCAATCTGGTTTTGGGTTAAGAAGTGACTAGATCTGTCATCTGTGAAACCTTTGACTATAGGAGAAGCCTTCCTAAAAAGGTCAGCCGAAAGGACTAATGCGCTGTGGGAAGAATGTGGAGCCATTTTGAAGGCGGTGCAGATACAGACAACGCGCTTCTACGGACGGTAATTTTAAGGGTGGAGAAGTCTTCTGAGATGATTCCGGTGCTGGTCTCCTCCATGATGGCGGACTCAGCTTGCTGGAGTATCCAGTCAATTGCTTGGCCCTCGGACTTGTGGCAAGTTTCCCCAGAAAGCTGGAAAGTAGTAGTGGCGCAAGCCGCGAGCATTCGGATGTGCCGTCCTCAGCCATCTATTTTTATGTGGCGGTCCTTGGTGGATCTTTTGGGCGGCGGTGCTGATGTACTTGGATCAGTTGGGATTTGTTCGAGGGGTCAAGTTTGGAGTCAGGTATGGTGGTTCAAGTGTTCAACGGCTGAGAAGCTGTGGTGGATTTTGGTTTGTTGTTGTGTATGCGATACTTTTTTGAGTTTAAGGTGGAACTGAATGTGTGGTAAATGTCCCAAGGGTTGTTTTCTATTTTTCCCCGTGATTATGAATCTATTATGGGAAATCTAACAATTTTAACCTTTTCTGCACTTCGGAAAAGAACCCATGTGATATGTTACAATCTGGATTCCGGATGTCTGGATGACGTATTAGCTAAAACTGTTTTTAGAAATTAGCATGCCTTTTTTTCTGATTAGCACTGAAAAGGAAAACTTTTAACTGCATAAGCTCATAGCGTGAAACCTGAAACACTGCTTCAAATGTATGATCAGCCTCTCTGTCTTTTACGGAAACAAATAAGATGATAATGGCTACAAATCTCCACCTGAAGAAACTAACATATTTTTTTTTACCAAAAATACCTCTACTACTAGAAACAGGCACAATGTCGTTACCAAGAAGATGGCAAAAGTTTGTTTCAATTTTGCTATCTGGTTCAGTGGTTCATATTCTAATTTTCTTAAAACTAATATTTAATATACATATGAAGAACATTTACATTATTAAGAGGAATAAGAGGAGGTAAATGTGACAATGATTAGTTGCAGTTTAACACTATTATAGGAATGATGTAAAAAGTGAAAACTTTGTCATAATAATGCCATGTTTGTGTATAACATTAATTGTGCAAGTATACCTTTATGTCCTAAAGCACATATTAATGGCTATATTTTATCCTTAAGCGCTTTCACTACTTTCCTAATATCCTAAAACTTGCACCATGCCAGTTAAATTTGTCCCACAACCCTGCCTGCTGCTCCACTCATGGCATAATAAATTCTTCCTACCTATTAGAATAGTTATCTCCATACAGAATATTGCTAACAAAAGAATGTTTATCACGCTTACGATTTCAGTTATACTTTCTTGACCCAAGTAATTTACTGATGTAATGAATAGTTACCTTTTTTCTAGATTCTAATAATTTCTGTAAATGCCATTAATTGATATATTTGAAACTTACCAATTTTTCATATTCAATTTACATTTATACATCAAGGATATACCAAATTTTCCATGCACAAGCGTTGTAGGTAGGGTAGTGGTGAAATGTTGACATTTAGCAAGGGAAATGTAGCTAAACTTAGACTCACTAAAACTGGCATATATTAGTCTGAAACAGCGGTGTAGTAACTTTACAAGAATGGAGAATACAGAATCTTTAATAATTAACAGGTGTGTTTGTATTCGTGTTCATGTTGCTCATTTTCCTTTCATGATTTATGTTTCCTGTGGTATGTTGTGTACCAGTTTTTTGTTTTCTTGCTAGATCCTATATGTAATTTGTAATGGAAGTCTTCAAATGCTTTATGTATAATTGACAATTAAAAAGGTATAAAATTCTTTGATTGTTAAATAAATCATGCACGTACAAGAGGTGTTAGGAATGGGCTCGTCTGTACATATGCAAAATAAGGGTAGATCATTAAAGTTGACTGTATGTGCCCATAGAGAATTCACTTTACAATAAATTGCTGGAAGATTGAATACCATCAAAGTTGCATGAACACTTTAAGCACCTAAAGTAAGATCAGCTGAAGTGATTATACAATGATGCCCTTGATCTTATGTTCTGAATCTGTTGAATGTATACATATCACTATATCTATATGTTTGTATCTTTTATCAGCAACTAGGATCAGTGGTGTGGTCATAGTTTTTATAATTACTTAATATGATCTTAAGCAGACGCTAGAATTTTCTATTCTTGGTTCGTTTATTTGGTTGTAGAAACACAATTTCATAAGTTATAATTGTGGAGTCTGCTACAATTGTTCATTGATATGCTTTCATAGTACTTGTTTGTCTAGTATTTTTATTATGGTGTATGTTCATATTACTTCCTCAAGCTACAGTTTATGAATTCTATTTCTGATGCCCATAACAAACTTCACTATAAGTATTTTTTATTTTTAAAACCTCTTTTCTGCGTGTTATTTATATGCACTCTCAATTATCAACAGGAAAAGGCTAAGGACTCCAAGTGCTAAGGTGTTTGAAGCTGTTGCATCATACATCGATGTAAAAGAATACAGCAGAAAAAGCCGAACACATGTTAACAAGTTGGAAACGAGTGAAAATATAACTTTGTGTAAAAAGGTGTCAAAGAGTGCAGTTGCTAAGAGCGAACAACCAAACCTTACCAGGCGAAATCAGATAAATGAACAGAACCCGGAAAGTGGAACAAATATAAATCCCAAAGGAGCTTCAGTGACAACTACAAGATTGATAAATAGAATCTGGGGAGAGTATTACTCAAATTTTGTATCCAGGGAGTCAAAGAGGGATAACGGTCCTGCCACAAGAAAAAGGAAGGCTTGTAGAGATAAAACTGAGGGTGAAAAGGACGTTAAAATATCAAAACAGAAAAAATATGGTTCAGATGATATGTGGATGCCTTATTGCCCATTTCGTAAAAAACGGTCAGGTTGTAGAAGAAAGACAAGATGGGATGGAGAAGCAATTGGGGTGACTTCTAACGGAAGTGCTCTTTATGAAGGAGTTTTTATTAGTGGGAGTTTAGTTTCAATAGGTTCCGTCGTTCTAGTGGAAAAAACTCATTTAAACCGAGACTCCAGCATTTGTTTCGTGGAATACATGTTTGAAGCATCTAATGAGAGGAAGATTGTCCATGGAAGAGTGATGGTTGGAGGATTTGAAACAGTTCTAGGAAACAATGCTAATAAGAGAGAACTGTGCCTGACAAATGACTGTATTGACTTTGAACCTTCTGAAGTGATAGAGTCTTTAGTTGTGAAAATGAAACAGACGCCATGGGGATATCAACACCGCAAGGATAATGAAGATAATGATATAGATGAGAGAGAAAGAGCAGAGGAGAGAAGAATGAAAGGATTGGCCACTGAATATTTCTGCAGGACTTTGTATTGTCCTGAAAAAGGCGCTTTTTTTAGCTTGAAAACTGGTTTGATGGGACTGGGTAGTGGGTATTGCCACTCTTGTAATGCAAGGGTATCGCATGAAAAGAACGACTTCACGGTATGTACATCTATGAAAAGCTTCACATATCAGGGAGTTCAGTACAATGTTCTAGACTTTCTCTATTTGAGTCCTCAGTATCTTATGGAGAATCAGGAGGGCAAGAAAACCGTCCTCAACGGCCAACACCAGAAACCCAAAGCATATGTAGTATGCCAACTATTGGGACTGGAGGTCTCTTGCTCACTCAAACAATCTAGCCCTGAATCAGTAAAAATCAAGGTTCAAAGGTTTTTCAGACCTGAGGACATATCTGCACAGAATGCATATGTCTCTGACATCCAAGAGGTAAGTAATCCTTTAAGCTCCTTATTTTATGTTGATTTTTTTTCCGTTATTGTATGCACTAAAATTTGAGTTTCAGATATACTACAGCAAAAAGATTGAATCAGTACCAGTCATGGCAGTGGAAGGAAGATGTGAAGTCAGGAAAAAGGAAGATTTTGAATTTATGGATTCCCCTTATATATATGAGCATACCTTCTTTTGTCAGTTTATATATGACGTTGAAAATCAATCCCTAGAACTGGTAAATGGCTAGCTTTTCATTGTGTTTTTTAAGGTAACCCTTAAAAATACTGTTTTTTTTTTTTATGTATATTTTATTCCTCATGCATGTGATCCTTTATTCCTACAGTTACCATCCCATTTCAAGTTAAGCTCTTCAAAAGGGAGTTTAGGTCAAAAAGCTGCTGGCAGAAAGACAAAAAAGAAACAAATGATCACGAAAGGGGGTTCAGCCAAAACTACTAATGGTGGTAAGGAAAAGGCTGCAATAAATGCTTTAACTACTCTGGACATATTTGCAGGTTGCGGTGGGCTATCGGAAGGTCTAGAAAAGTCAGGTATTGAGAACTCGTGTACATTGCCCTGCTTATTTTTATATCCTCAAACATCTTTACTAATAGTGTCCATTGCAGGTGTGTCGGTCACAAAATGGGCAATAGAGTCTGAAGAAACAGCAGCTGAATCTTTTAAGCTCAATCATCCGGATGCCATTACAATTGTTAACGATTGCAACATGGTTCTTAGGTTGCAGCATATTTTTATTATTCAGATTAATATAGGGAGCGGTTCTAAGGAGAACCATGCTTAACGTGAGAACGTAAGAAGCATGCACTTTTAACACAATTTGGTGCAGTATGAGGCTCATCTATTACACTTTTTAAACTTTGGTCAAAACATGTCAATATCAAATAAATGTGGTGGCAGATACGTAAATATTTTGTTGACATGTAAATGTGCAAGGTATAAACGATATAGTGAATCATCACATTTGCTTAAAAGTGAAGTTCTCACGTAGTCACGTTCTCACGTTAAGCATGGTTCCCATTTGATCCTACTAATCCTAGATATATATACATATTTACACACACACACACAGAGAGAGAGAGACGTGCTACATGTGTCCCATAAGAGACCAATGTATTGCTTTCTAAATTTTGGTAGGGTACAATTGTCAAAAATCATGAATCGTGTTAACATTTTATTTAGTTTGTTTGGAGGTTTAAATAAATTTGTCATATATAACTTTGTTGTTAATTGTGACTTTTTTTCTTGGCAAACCATGTGAAAATTAGCTTTGTTTTGTAAAAGTAGATTTTTTTGGGACAAGAAATTGTTTAAAACAAGACTCTACTTTGGGATGGAGGGATGTACATTTCACCTCTACTTCTGAAGTGATTTTTTCAACGTCAGTCTTCTCCTTCCCCGCTTTCTAGCACATTCAGTTTGATAACACCATTTCAATGCTGCAGGGATATCATGATGGCAAATGGGGATGCGAATGACTGTATTCCAACATCTGAGGTACACTCCTTGGCATCAAAACACGATAATAAGGAAATCAAACATATGCCACGGCCAGGAGAAGTAGATTTGATCATTGGTGGACCTCCTTGTCAGGTTTAATATATATAATTCATTGTTTAGTTGCTAATTTTCATTTTCTTTTTTCCATCTGAGATTTCATTTGCCTGCAGGGGTTTTCTTTGTTGAACAGGCACAATAAGAGTTCAACAAGTGATGTTCGACGCACAATGATCTTGTCGCTTTTATCCTTTGTGGATTACTTTAGGCCTAGGTTTTTGCTCATTGAAAACGTGAGGAATCTAGTGTGTTTCGACAAAATGAAGCCGTTTCAGCTAACTATAGCTTCACTTCTTGAAATGGGTTATCAGGTAGTATATAGATGTAATCTAAGAGCCGTTTGGGATGACTTATGTTATAAGTGCTTTTATAAGAAGTGTTTTCTCATTTTAGTACTGAAGGTGTTTTTTTACAAGCTTGAAGGTCCAATTCCGCTTTTTAAAATAGGCACATAAATGCTTTTTCAGAATTAAAAGAACTTTCTCCATTTCCTTGCCAAATGCTTCTATTTTAGGTAAAAGTACTTTTATTTGGAACTTAGGAATCCTAAACTCAATCTAAATCTATTGTAGAAGAAGATAAACGTTTAGGTTAACAATAAATCATAAAAAACATCTTAATCATTGAGCTAGTCCCCCACTACACCTCTTTCATTCAACCTCACTAATACCTCCTTTTGTGTGGACAGGTAAGGTTTGGAGTCCTGGAAGCGGGATTCTATGGCGTGGCACAGTCGCGGAGACGTGTTTTTATATGGGCTGCCTCGCCTGAGGAGACCCTTCCTGAATGGCCAGAGCCAATGCATGTTTTCCCAGGTCCAGACCTGAGGATCAAGTTAGATTTAAATGGAGATTCCTATTATACTGCTGTCTGTAGCACAAAAGCCGGCGCCCCTTTTCGTTGCCTCACTGTTAGGGACACTATTGGAGATCTGCCAGCTTTGGCAAATGGGGATTCTGCGACAACTATGGAGGTACGTACATACAGTTCCTTTTCTCTTAAGACTGTTTAATGTACCGTAATGCAATCAATTCCTAGTGGTCTATTGTGAATTAACTTCATTATGGTTTACCAAACAATTCCCTAGTGTAAATATTCCCACAATCCTAAAAGAGGAGTCATCTAATTTTTCATATAATTTTCCAATAATTGCCAAGAAAAGTGTAGCATGTTTAGGAGCAAGTTACACATGATATAAATAGTTAAACCAGCACGTAAATCTTATAAATGTTAAAACCATTGCATGACTTTTAATAGTTGTACTTACCTTGACCCGGAGAGCAGAGGAGGACTGTTTTCTGGGCCGGGGGAATAATAGTTACTTGATCCCTGGTCATCATATCTGTGTTTCTTAAGTTCCTGCACTGACCATTTTGTTCAGTACAAAGGTAATCCTGTTTCGTGGTTCCAAAAAAGGGTTAGAAGAAATATGACAGTGCTGACAGATCACGTTTCCAGGAAATTGAGCGAACTAAATCTGATTCACTGCTATTACCTCCCTACTGGTGCTGATTGGAGAGACCTTCCCAAAAAGAAGGTAATTTTTCTCTAGGTTCTCAATGAAACACAGGAATTTCAAAGTCTCATCTTGCTTTCATGTTTTACAGGTTGAGCTGTCAAGCGGGAAGTTTGTTGATTTAAAACCCCAGTGGTTGCTTAAGATGCAAAGTAAAGGTAGTCATTCTAAAGGTGTACTGGGAAGGTTAGAATGGGAAAAAAACTTCCCTACTGCTATTACCTGTCCGCAACCAAGAGGCAAGGTTGGGAGATGGTTTCATCCCGCGCAGGATAGGCTGATTTCTGTCCGCGAATATGCTCGAGCTCAGGTATATATGTACATCTAGTCATTTCTCAAATAAAGTAAATCACTTTCCACGTTCCACCCATTTATTTTCCATCATACCAAACACTTTTTAGTTGGGTGGGTCATGCACCGTTCCTTTAGAATTTACCAACTTCCCATGGAAACTAAGGATCTGGTTTGGAACATGGAAAAAGTGAAAATGCAAGAGAAAAATAGCAAGGAAAATAGAGACAAAAGTTGGAAGGAATGAATTTTGGGGAAATAAAAGATTTGCTCAAAGTGAATAGTTTTCTCGACCAGAACAAATCAGACCAAACCAGATCAGCAAATTACGGTCCACGTAAAAACATTCTAAGTAATACGTAGTACATGTTTGTTATATAAAGGCTAGGAAATCTAAACATATTTTAAAAATTAAATAGATAGTATAAGGAAAAAAATTCCTTAACACGTTTTTTACTTTCCCCGGTATTTTACAGTATCCAAACCTACCCTTACACGTGGGGAGATGAGAAAGTGATTTTTTTGTAACACTTTGAGGAACTTTTCAGAAGAAGCACCAGACTTTTTAAAAGTAAAAGCGTCAAGACACTGATGCATCATGCATGCACTAGATGTATGACAACCCCACTTGCTCACATAAGATTTGTACACACTTGAGAGTGGAATAAGAATTTCCAAAGTACTATCAATCAATCTTTGAACCTGTGTGGATTCATATGTGTTTCCAACTAATAAGAAATTTTACGTTCATGTTGAATAAGAATTTGTGAATTGTGATGTAACTATTTTGTATGCAGGGATTTCCAGACTCGTATAAGTTTGCCGGAACCATTAGGAACAAATACCAACAGGTGGGCAATGCTGTGCCGCCACCTCTGGCATTTGCACTAGGGAGGATGCTCAGAGAGGCAATCGGAGCAAATCCTTGAATGTATTAGCACAAACCATTACTTGTAATTTTTTATCTTTTGATGTTAAGGTACTAATTAAATGTCTTATGGCTGATAAAACACTAACTTATATACTATTGTTGACAGTGGAAATTTTGTAATAGGTTTTTTTATGTTTTAGAAAGTGTATTACACCTGCTTAGCTATTTATAAAACATATTTTAGAAGAAAAGAGAAAACATATGGAAATAAAATTTGTTCAATGTGAAATTATATGCATGCTCATTTATGAATCAAATAATTTGCTTTACTTGTATAAAGTAAAGCAAATTTGGTATTGGCATCCTATATTTACTTCAATATTTGTTTTAAACTTTGCACAATTGCACCTCACTAGTAGTCTTGGACTAGGGTCGGGCCACCCGGCCCAGGAACCAGCCCGGCCCGGTGAACCGGTTATGGTTCCGGGCCTAGGCCTGGGCCCGGGGGTGAGGGCGGGGCGGTCCCGGTTCAGCCCACTCTTTGGAACCGGCCCGGCCGGTCCCGGTTCGGGTCTTTATTTTTTTCCCCATTTTTTTGGGCTTTTTCTTGAGTTGGGCCGGGTGTTTTTTTTTTTTGGGGGGGGGGGGGGGGGTCGGGGGTTAATTAGAAAAGAAAAAAATACTTGGACCCGGCCCGACCCGGACTTGGTGCTAACCTGGGCCCGTCCCGGGCCTTCAACCCAGATGTCAAAAGTCTGGTTGGGCCTAGGCCCGACCCAGGTCCATGAGTACCATGACTACTCACTAGGTCACTTGAGGTATAGGGCTATAGGCTTAAAGAAAGCATTTTTTATAAAGAAAGTAAAACATGAGATGCACAAGGTCCACAACCCTGCAGGCTGCAACATGTGAGTGAAATAATGGAGTTTGCACTAGTTGAACTATGAAAGTAGAATTTAGAATTATAAAAATAAAAAATGAAATATATTTACCAATAATCTTTTTTTAAAAATTAAAAGTGAGTGTATAAGTTAGTAGTTAGTATTTACATTTATCTCATTAGCTTCATATGTTAAGTATTTCCTAAACTTTTTTTTTATTTTCAGTTAATTAAATCAACATAGACAAATAAGTTAGTAGTTGGTATTTTGTGTCTAGTAGAAAATTAGAAATATGGTTGATTAAACGCTACTCTTTGAAATCTCTATATGGTCTGTTTATTACATTTTAGGAGGGCGCGGTCAAAATAGTTTTCATGGAATTTTTTATTTTAATGAACATTTTATCAATGACGCAGTAGAGTAAAATACAAGAGAGAAAGATGAAGAAGGAAAGGGAAGAAATAAAATAACAAAACAAAAATACGAAAAACAGCAACCAAACCCAAAAGGCCAGAATTGCAAAAAGTCCCTTCCCAAAACCCCCTAAGAACAACTCACTCGATACTTCCAAGTTCCAAATTACACTCGTGTTTGAGATATAGTCCTCATAAAATGTGACCTTTGTTTCTCTTCTTTCTGTAAATCTTAATTTGAGTATTCAAGTTTTCTATAGGCAGACAATTTTCTCTTGTAACAAATTAGCTTTGTTTACAAATATCTAGATTTGTATCGGAATCCCATAGACCTTCTATCGATGAAATAGGTGCCCTCTTCCCGCTTTTTGAACCATGGCCAAGGAAATCATCCCCAGAATATTAAAAGAATCGCTCCATAGACACCTTCACTATCAAAAGCCTCAAAGTATTGATTAACTAAAAAAACATCCCTCGAATTGCCGACTCATGCATTAGCGCAATCAATAGCTTTCTCGACATCAACAAGTTTCTTATTTAAAGAGTCGCGATTAGTCCACACCTTAGCCTTTGTGATTTTAATGAATTCCTTTAGAGAGAGTCGAAGTCAATTTGCTCAGAATTGTGGAAGTCGCAGTCGCCAGTAGAGTTGCTAGTAGATTACTCTAATATATTTGTTGACTTTATTAGCATTTGATTATATGATATTTGTATAGAATTTGTATGAGATTTGTATAGTATATATCACCAATGTCCCATTAAACTTGATCAACTTTCTTTTTCTGGGTGTCCAAAAAGAATCATTTCCACTTAAAGTAAAAAATATGTAATTAAGGTAATTTGTCTCTCCTTTGCACAAATATTAACCATAGAGCTTTTCTTTATTATTTCATGGTGATTTGAAGCATTACTAATTTTTTGGAAATAGTTCCAATGAGGAGATTTCACAAATGACTGTCTATGCGTTTAAAATCTGTAGATTTTAAAAATGTTAATGTCATAATGTCATAGACCTTAGGCCATCATGGTAGTAAGACCACACTGCAAAGAATCACAAAGCACATCAAGAAAGAACCTAAAAGCGGAGAAATTGCCATCATGACCTCTATACCTTTACCCATGTGCCATGTCTTCTTTTGTCAACATATATTTGTCATTTGACATTGAGAATCTGTTTGGAGTTACTTTTCTGGTTGTGTAATAATAAGAAAAAGTAAGGTTGAAATTATTTTTCTGATTGTTTTGGCTGAAGTTACTGTAGAGCACCATTTTAACTATTTTTACATATAATTTTTTCTTTATTTTATTAATAAAATATATTTTAAATTTAGTTTTTTCATAAATCAGCAGAATCAGCCAATACAACCACTTAATCCAGAACTTCATAAATTTTAACAGGATCAGCCGATTTCGGAGTTACCAAAATGGTGGTTTTGAAGCATTGTTTTTCTTTTCTTTTTTTCTATATGTTTTGGAAAATCATCACATCTGTGTTATATGTGGGTTTCACTTTCATCTCATGAGAAGTTGATATTTCACATACCAATGTGATGAAATGTTTGTTGATCTTCGTTTTCCATTAAGAACATGTGAGGTTTGGAATGTTGTAAGTCGGGGCAAGTGATGTAGCATAGCCTCAAAAGTCAAAACTCATTTGGATTGTATATCTGCTTATACAGCCCTCCACGCTCTATAGTACCACGATATCGGACCGAGTGAGGTGCAAAGTTTTTTTAGGATATCAGTTTTTGGTTTTACGGCCCTACGCCCTTACCTTTACACCCAATATTTGTTTAGGTATCGGAAATCTGCTTCTACAGGCTACAGCCCTTCTCCCTCCACACTCAATATTTGTTTGTTAGAATATCAGATTTTTGTAGTTGCATGTGTAATGTTTTTTTTGGTAATGGCACTCCATGCATTTTATTATGCTACGAACCAAAACACAACACAACCAAAACAGAGTAAAGATCCAAATAAAAATGAAACATGAAGAAAACTAAACAAGCAAAATAAATTTCTTTAACCCTAACACCTTGTTCAACCCTTGGCGGTGGTTCATGAAGAGGCCAGACCATCACTATGTAGGGATGGACTAGGACGGGTCAGCCCAGCCCGGCACTATGCAGGCCCGGCCCGGCACTATGTAGGGGGGCGGGCTACGGGATGGACAAAATGGGGACTGGCCCGCCCGGCCGAGACCGGTCCAAGCCAATTTTTTTTTTTAATTTTTGGGCTTTGGACCGCTGCTAGGTGAGTTGGGCTGAGTGTTTTAGAAGGGTTTGGGGGTGGGGGTAGGAATAAATTAGAAAACCCTAATTTTTTTTTAAAGACCCGATCCAGGCCCGACCCGGTAGAATCCTGGGCCGGTACCGGGTCTTAAGCCCAAACATCCGATACCGCCCAAGACTGGCCCGGACCCAGGACCGGTCCATCCCTATCGCTATGATTGTTGATGCACCAAAGCGGTTTTCTTCTGACTCGGCCGCCTCTTCTTCTTCATCATCGATCACCAGTTCGTCCGATGCTTCACCAATGTCTGAACCAAGGGCCTTTGAGGCTTTGACTGCCGCCGACCTTCACCAATGTCCAGACCATCATATTGTTCGATCAGTTGATCCACCAAGCAAGAAGCCTTTGACTGCCGCACCGCCTCTTCTCTTGATGCCTCACCCGCTTCTTCTCTAAAGTGCCGCAAAGCTTTCTCCATCGATGATCGAATACTAAGCCAACGAAGGTACATACAATCGTTGCCCCTTAATCGACAGACAATCAGCCGCACCCACGGATGGCAGTTTACCAAACCCTATTCAGGTAGTCCATAACTTAATGTTGTACAATTTAAATGCACTTTTATGATAAAAATAGTAACTTTGAATTTAATGATAGAAGTGCTCTAAAATATCAGCATTGCTAGACGCCTAAGCAGCTCCATCAATGCTAAATGGCTGGAGTTGATGAGTGTTTTTAAGGAATTTGACTTTTTTTCTGGGGCCAGGGGGAGGGGAGAGGAGCAGGTAGGAAAGAAATGGGTGCAAAGTGTAATCTTTAACTGTGTTACAATCGGCAGTGATTTCCAGAGAGCTACAAACTCCAGCAGATCAGCAATGTTTTCATGCCTCTGCTTGCTCTACATTGGGGAGAAAACTCTAGGAAGCAACCAAAGCATTATCAATCAAGTGATCATCATACTATTATGCTTTAAATTCATACAAGTATTTCCTCTTCCTGAAGCGTAATATCGTCTCTTCAACTGACAACAATTGGCTTACACATTATTATACGTACAACAATATATTCATGTTGTCCCCTCATCATCGTCTTATACAACACAACTTAGGTAGTTGAGAAAACCTTAACTGTGAGATGACTTGGAAAGTCAGCTAAAACGGTATCAATGCAAAATAATGTTATGGCTTCAGTGTATTCTTTACACCGTAAGAGACAGCCCATTGTCAGCCACTGTCATACTAAGTATCATTGTAGCTGCTTTTGGAGCCCTGTGAACATAACATTTTTTACGGGTAAGAGAAAAAGGTCAGTTGCACATAATAATTTTGTAGAAGCAGCATGAACATGAAGTATGAACACACTAATATAGTAGTAGTATTGTAGAACTGCCTTTTTAATATGTCTGTATTAAGAAAACTGAAAGAAGAACTGAAGAAGGGGTGATATAGACATAGAGCTGAAGGTGGTTACCAAGCTTCAGGTGTCTGGTAGAGTGAGGCGGAAGTGCCAAAGCAGGATTGAAGCATATCAGTGTTAACAACACCAGGGCTAAGAGCGACGATAGCAACTCCAGGTGTCAACTCCTTTGCTACGGATTTTGTCAGACCCTCTATAGCCCACTTTGATGCACAATACGGTGCCACCTGTCAAGCCAAAAGGCTATGGTTTAACCAACTGGTACTGAATAGTGACGCTTCATTTCCTTAAAACCATGTGGTTGTTTGTCTGAAGATCACAAAAACAC